AGATCTGGTCTGAAAATGTCCGAAAACCTTCGTGCCAGCCTAATATTAGGAAAAATCCTTGCTCTATCGAATGCGTTCCATGTTTCGCTAATGCTCATATGCCATATGATTATTTCAATGTCATAAGGACGGAACTCGTCGAATTTTTTTGAATAGTCTAACACATTCGATTACCGTGCTAACAAGACTTACACTAAAAGAATGTAATAAACATAAAAGTCTATGTTGTAGTATAATATGATAGCCTGACACTTTGTAGTTATCTTGTCCATAAATCGTGTCTTTTACTGCACCTAGAGCTTTATCTTCTCGAAAATAATAGGAAAACAATGTTACTCCCTTGTCACTCACCGATTTTGTAGATCTCACCCCAGTCAACGCCTTCTGTTCCACGCAATACCAGCGAGAATCCAAGTGTGGATCCCACAACTGCATGTGTAGTGGATACCGGTAGGCTCAGTGCAGTGGTGATTGATAACCAGATTGTTGTTCCTGTAATGGATTATACTTGACCCTGAAAATTATCACAGATAAATGTAAAACTACCTCCAAGAACAGCCAGTTGTCCCAGCATGAGCTCGTGCGGAGCATTTTTGTACTCCGCTACATCTACGACGCCTTTCCGCATCATGTCCGTCACTTGCCATCCTAGAGTAGAACTTCAATTTTCGACATTCGCGAAGTTCATACTGACAGTGCACGAAGTTCTTGGTGGTAGGATGTTCAAAAGTGATAAAGGACCTTGTAGTACTGCTGTGCCAGACTGGTTTGTTGCATGTTCTTTATTCCAATCAAGACCTAATGTTTCAACGCCTTTCGTCTTCTTGAAAACACCGTTACGTCATCCATCGATTCGGAATAGGTTCAAAGCTCTTTTTAATGAATGCACAGGCTTGCAAAAGTCATTTTCTTAATGGAAACAGTTAAATCAAGAAAGTGCACTCTTGACGCAGACTATCGATCTTACAAAAATGTTTTGGTTCATGATTTTGAAAAAATGAGTGGAAGAGCTAGGGCATACGAGAAAAGAGCATAATAAACCATATTAAATGATACTCGTGATAGCCGAGTAGATTATTTTTTGTGAGAAAAATAATATGCCTTCTGATCTCAATGCAACATACTCTCTCGCAAAGTGCTGGAACCGTCAAACTAGTGTAGATTTCATGACAGCCCCTTAACACTCAGCACAGGTATTTTGGTAGCCTCACATGTTTCACTGCGGAGGTGCTGCTCTGCGTCCGAAATTACTTGCGGTTAACAATGATCTTGAAGGAAGTGTTCCGGCAAAACCTCGCTCTCCCGCATACCCTCGATACATAGAGCCATGTACTCTGGTAG